TCAACAACGTGAGATGTACAATCAATAGTTATTTCAGCTGGTCCATACAAATTCCATACTCGACATGTTGATGTTACCATACTTCGCATTAATTTGGCTAATTTTACTGGTAAAACCTCACCTAAAAAATGAGATACTGAAATATATAATGAAAATGTCATTTCAAATCTACAGACCGCCGGAACATAATGATTTGAGGTATTTCACAGCCTCCCGAGCATTATACCCTTCAAAAAAACTAAAAAAACTGTGAAAGATGCTTGGTACAGTTTTCATATATGTAATTTGTTTCTTTCTAAGCACTGTGGAGAGATATTCAAAATCAATAAGTCCTCCTGGACGAAGCATTACTGTTGTCGCACCAACCATCAAGGCACCCAGTATATCTGGCACATGAGCATCGAATGAACAACGTGCCATCTGTACAATTGTGTCCTTCTCATTGAATGTATCAATATAAATCAAAGAACGCATGCATTCACTAAAGTTTCGATGTCGAACACTAGCCTAAAACAAATGAAATACTCATATAATTTCAAGCGATGATGTGATCAATGACAAACCGCTTTCGGCGTTCCAGTGGAACCGCTTGTGAATACAGTGTACACTATATTCTCGATTGTTACATTGACGTTCGAGAGTCGATTAATATCGACATCACTTTCCAGTTCATTGTCAATTAAAACTGAATCGATGTCAAGCAAAATAATACTATCATTAAATTTATTTTTTGTTAGATGATGAACAAGAACAAGTTGGCTTTGAGTTTGTTCTACAAGCATATGCAAACGATGTCGTGGATCTCGAGGTAATAATGGACAATAAACACCACCAGCCATCTCAATCGCCATTATACCAATCACCTAAATCAATAATAAAAGTCATCTCAATTGAGGACATTTCACTTTGATCATCTTACCATCGACAAACTTCTCTCTACACATTGACAAATAATCTCCCCTACATTCACTCTTTGTTCATTCAAAAAATTCCAAGATAATACTTGAGTATAATATAAAAGTTCACAATATGTAAGAGATTGATCATCCAACTCGACAGCTAATTTTTGTGGATGTTTCATCACTTGATGAACAAATTCATGATGTATACAAGTGACAGACGGAGATAATACTTGTGTATTATTCATTGATTTCATAAGTAACTTTTCATCAGCTAATATTAATGACAATTCATAGATAGGTTTGTTAGTCGGAGCATCTTCTGTGTCAAACAATTGTTCTAACATTGAGTGAAATCGTTGTGCAATCATATCAACTGTTTTTCTATCAAACAAGTCAAGTGATGCATTGATTGTGCATGATAGTTGATTGATATCCAAATCATGTTGAATAGTAAGAATGAAATCGAATTTACTCATTATTTCATCTTCACCAATCTTGATTGAAAAGGGTGCAGCAATAAGCTGGACATTACCAATCATCACTTTATTCTTACCATTTTTAGAAGTATATGATCGAAATTCGAATGATGTCTCAAGAAATGCAGGTTTTGTAGCATTTGGATGTTGAGCTAGAATTCGCTGAAGAGGAAAATAAGAATACTTCAAACTATTTCTTGCAATGTCTCGAACATCTTCAACTAGTTGATGAAAAGACCAATGAGGATCTAGCTGACATCGCAAAGGAATAGCATTGACAAACATTCCAATCACTGACATCAATTCTTCTTTATATCTTCCATCTGTGTTCATTCCAATACATAAATCACTTTCTCCATTAGTCAATTTGAACAAGAAGGCATAATAACAAGCGAGAGCTATGTGTGCAAGTGTTATGTCATTTGATGATGAGTAAGAGAGAAAAACACGCGAAAGTTCTTCACCAAATTCAAACGAGAAAGATATTCCACGACCAGTTCGATGTTCATCAGAAAGACGATATCGATCATATGGTAACTGTAAAGATCGGTCTAGCCTACAATCATAAAGAGTTTCAAGCCAAAAGATACTCGCAGCAGTCATTGGCATTTCTTGTTCAACAGCAGTACCTAAATAAGAGCAGAGAAAGAGTGATTCGAATATAAGACAAGAAATATTTCTACTCACAATCAAGATAACGCAGAAGAGAGTTGTCATCTATTATGAGTTGGCCTGTACTGTAAGCTTGATTGAGATCATGAAGAAATACATCCATTGATGGAAAATCGAACAAAGCATGGTGAAAGTTAAAAATAATTGCATCTTTATCACAAAGGAGATCATTTGAAGAGATTGGTGTGTGATGAAGAATATGACAGCGAAAGACAAGGCCTTGACCAAGATTAAACAGTTGAGAGTTTCGCTTCTCCTCATAAATAATGAGGTCGAGCTCTTGATCAGTTCCAAAAGTACTTTCAATAAATTCAAACAGTCTATTGTTATTCTCGCTGAAGTCAATGATTCGCTGCATGAGTTGATTGTTTTCTGTATTGAAGAAGAGTGATGTTCGAAGTGATTCGTGTTTTCCGACAGTTTGCCGAAGAGCAGATCTAAGTTGATGCATTGATAAAGTATGTCCCGGGCAAAGACGATAAAGTAAAGGCATATTGTAGATTGCCGTCAGTGATTTGTCTGAATTGAAATGAATTCGTTCGTGAAGCCAAATGCGAGCTTGAGCATCAGAAGCTGGTGCTAAATAAAGAAAACATTAGTACCAAAAGTGAATTAGTTTTCATTAACTAGATAATAACTAGAATATGTTCAAGCTATATCAGTTTATTAGTTACACTCAAAACACGCGTAGACTATGGAATTGCTTATATTTTGCAGTCAGTTGGGGATTGTTCTCATATCACAAAAATGACTCCTTACATATTTCCATTCAGAGATCAACAAGCCATTCAGATATACTCAAAAATGAGAAAAAATACAAAGAATTTTCGAAAACCTTCAGCAGTTAAGATTGCCATGTTTTAAAAAGATAAGAAAAACAAACTAAACTGCATACCAGTAAAACTTCTTTTACTAATATTAGTACCATATCGTACTCTTATTATTCATATAAATAATCTTTTCCATATTGGATGGAACATATGCAATGTTGAGAAATAGACTTATGCGTCTTCGAATCTATTAAATTGTGCTGTATAAGATTCGCAAATTTTATAATAAAAGCTCAAAACCAGCCGCTTTTCTTGATAATTTCATCCCGCATATAAGACTTTCGTTTTCTCTTCGTTGTACTATTTCTTTTATTTTCATTGTCTTTTGCAAACAAATTTACTCCCTGTAAATAAACGATGCGAACGAACAGACATAGGGATCAACTAAGTAGTGACAAAAGTTCGATGTCGACACGCTATTAGTTCCAGTTCCAATTCAATCAGCATTGTTAACTCAGCGATATAAGTAGAGAACCCAATACAACTGACAAAACAAAATTTTAATTATCTCATCCTGCTCAATTGTCTGACATTCTCAAAATATTCCATACTAATATGACTGTTATACAGCGCTGGTAAAAACAAACTACTGCTAACAATGACCCATCCTACACATAAAGAACATAGTAGGTAAACATACCTTCATTGAAAATATTCGATAATCTATGAAACACTGTCCCTCGCATTTCTTCATCTTCTTCTGGCAAAATAAGTGACAGTTTGTTGATGCATGTTGTAGATCGATCAATTTGAACAACACTAGACTTTGAAGAGAAAAGTTGAAAGAAAAGATGTTGAAATCTTTGTGATATCTTCTCAACTGTCGACTCATCATATAAATCATGCGAGCAGATGAAATGACATGAAAGACTTCCATCATTCAATGTTGGATTGTAAACAAATGTCAACATAAAATCAAATTTAGTCATTTCACATGATGGATCTAATGAAACCTGTTCTAAATTCGCATCATTCAAAAATAAGTGATCGATATCAGAAGAAACTGTGGTAAAGTTAAACACTGTCTCGAGAAAAGGAATATTCGATTGATTAAGATGAGAGTCAGCAAGAATATATTGTAGTGGATAATGAGAATGTTCGAGAATTGACAAACATCTATCTCGTACATGTTTGACAAGTTCATTGAATGACCAATGAGAATTAAGTTGAATACGATAAGGTAATGTTGCAACAAACATTCCAATCATGTTTTCTAATTCACTTTTATATCGATTGGCATTGAGACAAGTAATAAAAAGATCGCTTTGACCATGAGTTAATTTGAAGAGAAATGTATAAAATATAGCTAATCCTAGTTGAAAAGGTGTGATTTTATGTGTGGAGGCGTAATTTAGAAATGCTATGGAAATCTGATCATCGAAAGAGATTTTAGCTACCGAAGCTAAACCAGATCGCTGATGAGTTGATGAACGATGCCGATCAGTTGACAATGACAATCGATATTCGAGATTGTATGCTTGAAGTTGTGCTTGCCAAAAGTTACGCGATAATGTCATATCCATTTGATGTTCATAAATAGAATAATCAATGTATTGCAGTGCATCATCATCCGAAGGTAATGAACAATCAGTCTCATAAGCAACAGAAAAATCACGAAGAAAAATCGATGTAGAAGCTCCATCAAATGCTGAATGATGGATGTTAAATAATATTAAATCATCTTTAGTCAATAGATCATCATTCTTAAATGACAGATTATCATCTGGATGATATTGACGAAGAATATGACAATGAATAACACATCCTTTTGTTAAGTCAAATAAATCAGAGTTATTCATCATCTCAGTTATTGTTTTATCAATGTTGCTATCTTTATCATCATGAAGATTAATTATTGAAAATCCATATGGTTTAATATCATTATTATTGATATTTATATTCAAACAATATTGCATAATAATACCATTACTATCGATATGAAGTGCTGTGCGGAGAATGCTATGTTTCATAATTACAAATTGTAATGCATGATGTAATCGAGTAATTGATATATGACTATTTACAGATGCTACACGATAAAGTAATGGAATAGTATATATTACATTGTTAGTTCTGGATGAAAAACGAATTTGTTCATCAAGAAATATTCTTTCTTGAGCAAATGATGCTGGAGCTAAAATATGTCGAAAACAACAGAGGATCAAAACTGAAATATTGAAAAAGTTTTTATCTACCTTGAATGAGATGTAGAGAAGACCAACAATCTTCAAAATGTTTTTCAATATTGATAGCTTGACGAATGAATTGAGAATGATCAATAATTGTTGGATATTGAAATAGATCATTAATAGAGAGAGATTTTGTTTCTAAATGAAATGTTGTTTGATATCGACGATAAAGTTGCATAAGCAGTAGAGAATGGCCACCAATTGTAAAGATATTTGTATCAATTGAAATTTGTTTCTGTTGAAACATATCACACCAAAGAGTATGAAGTGTAATTTGAATTTCATCATGAGGTTTTTTCATTTGTAAGTTACTTGTATGATTTCGTTGTAGATGATTAAAGAAATAGGAAGAAGGAGACGGAAGAAGTTTTCGATCTATTTTTCCATTTGCATTCAAAGGTAATTTATCAAGTATGATAAATAATGATGGTATCATATATGGAGGAAGATGACATTGACAATGCTGACGTAATTGTTCTTCATTGATATTAGAACTTTGAACATAAACAATCAAATTATCATCATCCCATTTGATGACAACGCAAGCAGAGATTGATGTATTAAGTAAACATTGTTCGATTTCTCCTAGTTCAATACGTTGTCCATGTAACTTGATTTGATGATCTTTTCTTCCTTGATAATGAAGAAGGCCATTGTGATCCATTCGGACAAGATCACCTGTTCGATAAAATATTTCACCATCTATCACAATAAGTGCTCTTGTTGTCAAATCATTACGTCCTAGATAACCAGCAAAAACGCCCACACCTCCCACTAACAGCTCACCTTGTTGGTCAATAGCAGTTGATTGTGAGAATTCATCTAGAATAGTACATTTATAATTAGGCAGGGAAGCACCAATAGCAATGCTCTTTTTATCAGTTGCTCTATGTACGAGGTGGAATGTACAAACGATGGTTGTCTCGGCTGGTCCATACAAGTTCCATGTACAGGCGTTTTGAATACTAATATCCATGATTAAATCGAGTACTCTGAGGGCGAATGGTTCACCTAAAAGAGTGAAAAGGAACAAATCTAAAAGTTTTATGGAACGCATTGATCAAATACTTACCAATGCTGCAAAGGGATCGGAGATACTGTACAGATTCTTTGTTATTGGACTCTTTGATTGAAACGAGAAAGTTGTAAAGCAGCGTCGGCACAGTATGCATATATGTAATTTGTTTGGATGCAAGGACTCTAGAGAGATATTCTAAATCAATAGTTCCATGTGGGCGAAGCATGACTAATGTGGATCCGGTCATTAAGGTGCCTAATATTTCTTGAACATGGATGTCAAAAGAACAACGCGCCATTTGTACAATTATATCTTTCTCGTTGAATGTATCAATGTAAGTCAAAGAGTGAATACATTTAGTGAAATTTTGATGGCGTACTTGAACCTGAGAGAAGCAGAGAAACTAAGCACAGATTAATGAGCAAGTTTTCGACCTACCGCTTTTGGCATTCCAGTAGAACCACTTGTGAATATAATGTAGGCTATATTGTCGGGTGTGATTAATATGTTTGAAGTTCGATGGAAATCAACATCGCTTTCAACTGGATTATCAGTTAACACAGCGTCAATGTCAATTGAAAAAATATTATCAGTGAACTTATTGTTTGTTAGATGATGGGTAAGTACTAGGCGACTTTGAGTTTGTTCTACTAGCATATGCAAACGATGTTTTGGATCTCGAGGTGATAATGGACAATAGACACCGCCAGCCATCTCAATTGCTATTACACCAATCACCTAAATCAATAATAAAAATCATCTCAATTGAGAATAGTTCGCTTTGATCATCTTACCATCGATAAACTTCTCTCTACACATTGACAAATGATCTCCTCTACAATTACTCTTTGTGTGTTCAAAAGATTCAACGATAACACTTGAACATAATATAAAAGTTCCGAATATGTAAGAGATTGATCATCTAACTCGACAGCTAGTTTCTGTGGATGTTTCATCACTTGATGAACAAATTCATGATGTATACAACTGGTAGAAGGAAATAATACTTGTGTATTATTCATTGATTTCATAAGGAATTTTTCATCAGACAATATTAATGATAATTCATGGGTTGGTTTGTTAATCTGAACATCTTCTACATTAAACAGTTGTTCTAACATTGAGTGGAATCGTTGAGTAATTATATCAATTGTTTTTCTATCAAACAAGTCAAGTGATGCATTGATTGTGCATGAAAGTTGGTCAATATCCAAATCATGTTGAATAGTAAGAGTGAAATCAAACTTGCTCATTATTTCATCTTCACCAATCTTGATTGAAAAGGGTACAGCAACAAGTCGAGCATTTCCAATCATCACTTCATTCTTGCTACTTTTGGAAGTATACGATTGAAATTCGAATGATGTCTCAAGAAATGCAGGTTTTATAGTGTTTGGATATTGATTAAGAATTCGTTGAAGAGGAAAATAAGAATACTTTAAACTATTTGTAATTATGTCTTTAACATGCTCAACTAGCTGATGAAAAGACCAATGAGGATCTAGCCGACATCGCAATGGAATAGCATTGACAAACATTCCAATCATTGACTTCAGCTCTTCTTTATATCTTCCATTTGTGTTCATTCCAATACATAAATCACTTTCTCCATTAGTTAATTTGAACAAAAAAGCAAAATAACTAGCCAATGTCAGTTGTTCTACTGTTATGCCATGCGATGATGAATAAGAAAGAAAATCATGTGAAAGATCTTCACCAAAATCGAACGAGAAAGATATTCCACGACCAGTTCGATGTTCATCAGAAAGACGATATCGATCAAATGGTAACGGTAACGAATGGTCGATTTTATGATCTCGAAGAATATCTAACCAAAACATATTTGCAGCGGTCATTGACATTTGTTGTTCAATCATAGCATCTACGTAAAACAGAGAGGACAAATGGTTTCTATTGAAAATACTAAATATTTCTACTCACAATCAAGATAACGCAGAAGAGAATTCTCATCAGTTGTTAGTTGACCTGTACTATAAGCTTGATTGAGATCATGAAGAAATATATGCATTGATGGAAAATCGAATGAAGCATGATGAAAGTTAAAAATAATTGCATCTTTATCACAGAGAAGATCATTTGAAGAGACTGGTGTGTGATGAATAATATGACATCGAAAGACAAGACCTTGAGCAAGATCCAACAGTCCAGTGTTTCGTTTCTCATCATACATAATGAGATCGAGCTCAGAATCTGTTTCGAAAGTGCTTTCAATAAATTCAAACAACTTATTGTTATTCTCATTGAAGTCAATGATTCGTTGCATGAGTTGATACTTTTCTGTATCGAAGACGAGTGATGTTCGAAGTGATTCATGTTTTCCAACAATTTGCTGAAGAGCATGTGTGAGTTGTTGAATTGATAAAGTATGTCCTAAGCAGAGGCGAAAAAGGAAAGGCATATTGTAGATTGCCGTCAATGGCTTGTCCGAATTGAAACGAATTTGTTGATCAAGCCAAATGCGAGCTTGAGCATCAGAAGCTGGTGCTAAATATATCAAATATTAGTACCAAGAGTGAATTAGTTTTCATTGACTAGATAATAACTAGAATGTGTTCAGGCTATATCAGTTCATTGGTTATGCTGAAATCACTCATGGAATATGGAACTACTTATAATTTGCAGTTAGTTTGGGATTCTTCTTTCATATTTCCATTCGGATATAGTCAAAAATGAGAAAAAATACAAAAGACTTTTCGAAAAGCTCCAGTAGTAAAGATCGCATTTTCAAACAAGTAAGAAAAATAAACTAAAGTACATATCAGTAAAAACTCTTCCACTAATATTAGTATCATTTAGAATAGATTTCCAAAAATCAAATCAATGAATTACATGCCAAGATTTAGAGAATATATCGAACAGAATGGAACAAGACTTGAAAAACTGAAGAAAATCAAAGAATTCATGTTAAATGAATTTTATGTAAAAAGGACAATTGAAAAAGAAGCAGTTCACGATATTGACTTAGAAGTTTTTGCACTTCAAAAAGCAAAAGAATTAGGCTGGAACAGTTTTAAAGTTAGTGCAACATTTATCAAGTCGTTCAAGAAGAATAATCGAATATAATTAAGAAGATACAACAAGCTTATTGCTCAAAGTACATCAAATAGAAAACTTTGTATCTTGAATGGTATTTAAAATTATTTAATGTTTAAATAAATTTGTTCCCATATGATACATATTTGTGTTGTAGATGCTCAAAAATGGATAGAAAGCAAAGAATCTTTAATTTCAAATGATTCGTCTAATGAAAGTTTAAACAGTGATCATTGCTCATTCCAACAAGAATATTTTTCTTCAAGAACGTTGTTTTTTACTGGTGAAACAACAACAGAAGTAACTGTTAAGAAAAAAATAATAGAACACATTCGCATACAGTTCAACCTATTGCATCAGCTGATGATCGAGTATTAGACAAGTTTTTGCTTATTTTTCAAAAAAAAGCAAATGAATTCGACAAAATAGTGCAGAAAAACATAATCATTCCACCAAATGTTATAGTACAAGCGTCAAAATCTGGAAAAAACAGCATCGAAAAGCACCTCATCTTTTAATTGATGTTTTGCGTCCATTGGTGGATAGAAGATTTCTACTTTGTTTTAATTCTTGGCGAACCCAAACTGATCTAAACAGGTTTAGAACAGTATTCCGAAATGAAGACAGTCAATCATTAATTTTTCCTAAAGGATCAACTGATTACATTCAGCCTCCAGATTTATCTTTGTTTCGTTCATGGCGATATTTTCACAAGAAAATCGAGCATTATACTCATATAAATAGAACAGAAATGACTATAACTGAACGTCAAAGTTTTATCAATACACATTCTATTATACACAATCAGTTATCTGCTCCACAATTCAAAAATCTTATTAAATCTGGATTTGTGCAAGCTAAAATAATTAATGAAACAATTGGTAAAGTTCGTAAACCAAAGGATGTATGCTTCAAGTTTTATGATCTTTATTTCTCAGTTACTAACTGTCACGAACGAACGCTTCTAATTTGTGTCTGGTGCAAAAAACATCTTTGCTATTATCATTTAGTTGAAAACCTTCATATTCATTTATAGTACAATTGAAATATAACATAATATACTATGCTACTATAAGAATAAATAAACTTAACTCTGTTGATAAACCAAGTTTTCTGATAAAGGTCATTTTTTCCAGTTCTATATTACTAAAGTTTTAGATAACATTAGAATCAATGTAGATCCAATGTATTTGACATTCATAAGAAAGGTTCCAAGAACTTATTGTGTGAAAAAGAGTAAATTGTAAGAAAAACATAGGCATCAATATTTTTTATGATCGTTCATTTTTATATCTAAATTTCACATATCTTGAAATTTGAATAACTTTCTCTAGGTAAGCTATCAGCACGTGATATTTTAAGTTTATTAGTTTGGTGGTGAGAGCTTTCATTGCACCCGAACATGGTCAATCTCCATAACTTACAATACGCGACCTTCCATTGAGAGATTGGATATTAACAAATATACATTCTTTACTCCTATCCTCTCACTTATCGTTATTTAAATTTTAACAAGTAAAAGAGATGAAAATAGTAGAGGTTGTACAATATGCACGCGATTTATCCGATGAAGTTGTGGAAGAAAATGTTTATTTGTTTAATATGTTGCAAACGAGAAGCAGCAACAAAAATAGTTCCCATTGAAGAGAAAAGAAAAAAAGGTATACCAGCTAAAACTAAACTTGATTTATTAGTCCAACAATTTCATTTTTATATTCATTTTCTCTTTTGTAACTCACACTTTAGATTTCTACAAAAAAATATTCTTTCGGATTGTTCTTTAATTATTTAAATTTCTTTTTCTTATAACTTTTTATTTAATACGGTTAAAACTTATTTTTCTACTGATAAAATCTCTATATTATACTGATCAACTTTGTATTTGTTACTGGAATAAATTGTATATTTTACTGGTAATTATATGCAATATATTGATCGTTCTATTATTATTTATTGATACTTTTGGTACTGATCATTTAATCTATTTTACCGATTAAATATTTTGTTCCCCTAATTGATAACTGAGAAAACTAAAAAAACCAGTAACTTGATAATCATGAAGCAATCATATCTTCGCCCAAGTGACTAATGGTTAAATCTTTTTGAAGGTTTTCTCAGCTTCTTTGGTGCTTAATCACAGCAAAAATGCGGAATCGAACAACGATCGATAGTTAGAAGTGCTTCTTCTTTAGTAAAATAGGTAATGAGAAGTTATGTTAATATCCAGTAATTTTACAAAGTTTCTTACACATTTAAATTATTAATAGATAAATAATGATAAAATAACGACGAATGCTATCTAGCTTTCTTTGTCATAGATAATTCTACAAGTAACTTATAGTAGTGATATTTATGTTAATTGTCCTTTTCGTAATACAATTTTATAGCACATCGTTCTTACTCTTTCTCTTATTACTACTTATTTCCTTCCTTGTGGATAACTTTCTTTTATTCCAAGTTAGATGAAACGCGAAAAAATGAGTCAAACAACATTGAACTATTAATGCCGAATAAGTTTGCCTTATCCGCCTCATTGCATCAGCAATTAGCTTTGGTTTTGTTCTTGTTTTGGTAACAAATTGCTTTGTTTCGACATTGTTTGGTTATTGGTTAGATCTGAGGAGTCATCCTATTCTGTAATTTTAAATATTTCACGAATTCATTTCAGAGACAAATCTAATTCTTGGAATTCTGAGATTACTTCAATCAAAAATTCTACGCCATTGTACGAAATTGCTACAACTGCTTAGAAATGTATTCTAAATATTTCAATGATTACGACACACAACTTGAGGATGAGAACGAAAAGTGTTCGATAATACACGTAGCGTGAAAGTGAATGCAACAAAAATTTGCAAGCGCTGTAGTGTTAGATAGAAAATCTTATAGAAAAGGAAGCTACTCTGCAACCGAAAGAAATAACATAGAATTCAGTATCTTTTCTGAAGGTTCTCACTTGACTTAATTTTAAGTGTTTTATGTCCTAGTTACGCATACTTGTAATCAATAGCTTACATTAGAAATTATCAATAGTTGACATTCCACTCTTCTTGAGAACTCGTTTTATTGCTTTTTGGTGTAAGAGCGCAGGGAGAGTTTATTGAGTGTCTAAAGACTTTCATTAGAAATAAAAACCTTGCAATATTAGCTATGGTAAAAAAGATTAAGTCGTTCCAGTTCGCTGAATGATGGACATCCATAAAATTCTTTTTCTATAGGTGTCTATCGTAGCCTACTGGAAAAGGGGTACAAAAAAATACGTGATCCATTGTGTTCACACGACTAGCTGCACTTACACATAGACAAATGAATCTGAGTTGATATAAAGAGGACAATCCCATTTTAAAGAAAATAGTTTGGAAGAAAATATAGAAGAAACTTTACTCACCTTCCGTAATATTTATCAATTCACATCCATCAGAAGATATTGTCCGTAACGTTATATTTTCGAGCAGAAGACGAGCATGTTCAGCAATTGTTGGATGTTTGAGGAACGTAGTGATTCGAAGATTGTATTTGAAATTGACTGAGTATAGGTTAAATAATCTTATAAACGATCCAGGATCGTCTCTGAGTGAAAAGAACGGCGTTGAGATTGATAGTGTTGAGTTAACATGGGAGAGTACTTGATACCATATTTTGTGTACTCGTTGTTCCATCTCTATTCGTGGCAGTTTTCCTTCATTTTGCAACTTAGAAAGGCCAGTAAAATCAGGTGGTGGGAGGTTGTTTTGAATTATTTTTCCATTATGATCGACAGGTAAGGTATCGAGAATTATAAAAATAGATGGTACCATATAGAATGGAAGACGAGTTAAGCAATGTTGTCTCAAATCTTGAATAGTATGTGTTGTTTGAACGTAAGCTAGAAGATGATCAGTATCCCTATGCTTTGCCTTAATGACGGCGCAATTGGTGGCCATTTTCATCAAAATTGCTTTAATTTCTTCTAGGTTGATTGGTTGATATGCCAGTTTTAATTGATGGTCACATGGTCCTCGAAGTTCAAGCTGTTTGTTTGTGGTATTCAGCCAACCTAAGTCACCTGTTTTATAACAAATTTCACCATTGAATTCACATAATACTCTACGTGTAATCTCGTTACATTCATAATAGCCAAAAAAGACACCCGACCCTATCAATATACAAAACAGTGATATAATTCTTATTTTACTTGGATGTAAAAAAGATGATAATTGATTTAGTTCTATGAAATATTACCTCCAATGATAATTTCACCTGTTTGAACACCGGGTATAACTGGTTGAAAATATTCGTCCAACAGATAGATGTGAACATTTGGCAAAGGTCGTCCTATTGGTAAGAGTTCAGCAGCATTATTATTGCCTTCGTAGATATATTGTGTTGCTGTTCCTGTACATTCTGTACATCCATAATAATAATAAAATCGGCAGTTCTCATTTAAAAGATTCAAAATATTGCGCATAGTATTAGTCATCAAAGGTTCTCCTATTGAGAGAAATGATAGATTGGATAAGAAATAGATATTAGTATTGTATCCTACCTCCAGATAAAACGCAACGAAGTGTTTTTAAACTCTCCTTGTTAGTTGCAGTGTGTAAATAATCGCCGAGTATGCTTAGCAATGAAGGAACGACATTTAAAAAAGTGACTTGTTGACGACCAATTGTTTCCGAAAAGAAATTCATACTAAGATTACCATTTGGATGAAGTAGAATTACTTGACCACCCATTATTAGAGTTCCGACAATTTCTAATAAATGAACATCAAAATTAACTGATGTATGATGAAGAACAGTATCCATCGGTTGAATATGATTAGAACGAATACTTGAAATAAAATTGCGATGGCGAAGTTGAACCTAAAGTAAGCACAAAGAACAAATCAACCATAGGTCTTTATACTAATTCTTTGTATCCACTTACTGCTTTGAGTAAGCCAGAACGTTCATTTGTGAAAATAATATGTGAGATATATTCAGGTGTTACATTGACAAAATTGATGCATGTTGTTATTTCTTCATTTATGTGATCGAAACAAATGATTTGGTCAACATTGATCATTAAACATTGGAAAAGAAGTTGATCATGTGTAGGTTGATGTACGAGAAGGAGATGAGCATCACTCTGTTGAATGCATGTATTCAACTGCTTATCAGGATCATGTAAGTTCAATGGAGTATAAACACCACCACTCATCCAAATACCGATCATCCCAATTACCATTTCGAAAGATCGTTCTATTAATTGACAAACAATTTGACCAGGCTGAACAGCATATGCAATGATTAGATGATTCGCTAACTGTTGAGCATAGTAGATTAGTTCACCATAAGTCATCGATCCATTTTCTAAAACTAAAGCCACTTTTTGAGGATGTAAATGAGTTTGATAAGCCAAATCCCAATGAATACAACTGATTTGACTATAATCAAGAAAATTATCGTTCAAATCACGCATCAATTCAACTTCATGTGGAAGTAAAAGCGAAAATTGATAGATGGAGGAAATTGAAAAGAGTTGATCAAAAATATTCTTCAAGCGCATTGCCATTGTGGAAATAGTTAATTCGTCATAAACATCGAGTGAAGCATTGAGCGTAACAGAGATTGTCTCGTTTTGACGATGTTCATGCAGTGTACAAGTTATATCAAATTTAGTAGTATTGCGAGCTAGTAAATTTCGGTCTATTATATTAAATGTCGTTCCTTCATCGATTTCTATATTTTGTTCACTATTATCCATTATCGTTTCCACAAGGAAGAGTGTTCGAAGGAAGGATGTTCCTAGTTTTGGATTAAGTTTAACAATCTCCTGATAAGGCAAGTGCGAATGTGGAAGAATATCAAACCAAAGTTGTTGAATTCGATGACAAAGCTGGGTAAAAGATTCGTACGGATCAATCTTCAAACAAAATGGTAGAGTGTTGACAAAAAAACCCATCATGTTTTGAAGTTGATATTGAGGTCTGTTGGCCACAACTATACCTGTGTACAAATCGAGCTGCTGGCTATTGGACATTTTGAAAAGAAATGTAAAGAAAGCAGCGAGACCAACTTGAAAAAGTGTCAAATTTGATTGAGAAATAAAACGATTCAAATTAGTAACAAGATCATGATCAAGATCGAATGTTACTGTATAACCCTTGCCACTTCGTATGAAAGAATTTTGTTGATCAATTGAATTGTCTAAGGTTGCTAAGGCATGATTCCAATATTGTCGAGCACTCGACCAATCTTCTAATCGTTCATATTGTGCATAATCAAGATAGGTAATACTATCTTCATTGTTGTTAGACAATACTTGCATTGTAAAAGCTTGTCGAAGATCATTAATGAATACGATAATTGAACTACCATCAATAGCAATATGATGAAAATTGAAAAGAATAATGTCTTCTTGTTTTAAATTGTTGTCGTCATTATTAGTAAATGATTGACGAAGAATGTGACATCGAAACACTCGACCTTGCTCAAGATCGAACAAAGCTCGGTTTGTTTCTTCGTTTAACACGATTTGCTTCAAATGAGTATCATTGATTACACAGGTAGTTTCTAGATCGAACAGATCATTTGATAGTGGAAGTATCTTCTGTATAAGTTTATCTTGATCATAAATTAATGCTATCCGAAGTATTTCATGTTTAGCAATAATAAGTGTGAGAGCTTGACGAAGACGATCTATTGATAATGAAGTGGTTGATGTTAATTTGTAGATGAGTAATTCATTATAAACAGATATTTGTCCATTGATTGATTCATTGAAACGTATCTTTTCGTCCATCCAGAGGCGTTGTTGAGCAAATGAGGCTACTCCTATTTGAAGTTAGATACTTAGATTCAAGACCTTTTAATAGAGAGAACCTACCTTGCACTAAATGAAGTGGACTCCAACAAAGTTGATTTTTTGACTTGCTATTTATCAAAAGCTGAACATGCTCAGCAATAGTTGGATTCATGAAAAAATCAAGTACATTGAGATGTTTATTTGGAGCCAAATGATGTTGATAATAGTTGAAGAATTGCATCATTGAAAGAGATGAACCACCCAACGCAAAAAGATTCATATGACGAGGAGCGGCATCAAGCCTTAGTGTAGTACACCACAAACGGTGTACTTGCTCTTCTAATTCTGACATCGGCCGATATTTGCTTCCGAGAAAGTTAGCCGATGTATCAAACTGCAGAGAGGGTGGTGGAAGTTCCTTTCTGATAACTTTTCCATTGGCAGTGGTTGGAAATTTATCCATCACAACAAAACAGGATGGAACCATGTATTGACACAAATATTTATTGCAATAAAGTCGTAGTTCTTCAGTATTGAGTTTCAAATCATTTGACATCACATAAGCTGCAAGCCAATCTTCATTGTGTGGAGCTTTCATCACCACACAATTGAAAATCTTGTTAGGAGACCAGCTCATAATTGTATTTTCAATTTCATTCGTTTCCACCCGTTGACCACGTATTTTAATTTGGAAGTCAGCACGTCCAACATAAATAAGCTCACCTCTCGCATTATATCGAGCTAAATCGCCTGTTTTCAAATAAACTTGATTCTTAATAGTGGTAAACTTATTGATGGTAAGTTCTGGCTGATCCAAATAGCAGTTAAATACACTTGGTCCTGCAAATAAAAATACAAATTAGTGATTAGAAATGATTTACATGAATTCTATTGACCTGCAATATAAATTTCACCGACATCACTGGTATTGTTTGTATTGCTAATAATATCACCTTGTTCATCGATGAGTAAACATTGAATGTCTGGCAATGGATAACCAATAGGTATATCGTTGCCATCGGTATCTTTCAGTTGATATCCAATTGGTACATAGCATTCAGACAGACCCAATACAGAAAAGATTCGAGGATTGTACGAAGTTGTATACTTGAGAAAGCGTGTCCATTCTTGGATCTTCGCACTATCACCTAAATATACGACAACAAGCAAAACGTACAAGCAATTCAATATTTGAATGAATAAGTTCATAGTCACCTCCTGTGCCCAAGTTGCGTACAAAACTGAACGTTTCAAGTCGTTGACTCATCTCGAGATAATGGCAAAGAGCTCGAACTAGAAACGGTCCAATGAGCACTGTCGCTATTTGTTGATGCACCAGAGTATGACAAAAATATGCTATATCAAAGGTGGCACCTGGTCGAAGAAGCACAATAGTACCACCAACTGTGAGTGTCGTTGCTATTTCTATCATATGCGTGATCCATGAACAGTTGGCAATTTGAAGAACTTGGCAACGAATCAAATCTCTTCCAAGATCCCATTGAGAACCAGAGCCAATACCTGCTGAAAAACTAGCATGAGTGTGCAGAACTGCTTTTGGCCGACCAGTTGTACCCGAGGTAAAAATAATATATGCAGGGCCAGACTCTCGACAATCTGGAATGCCTCTTATATCTTCAACGCTTGAAAGCGGAACGAGAATCTCATCCAATCGAATGACATATGAAACAGCTGTTGATGGAAATTGATTACGAGTTTTTCCATGCAGTAGAACATATTGTCCACGTATTTGATCGAGAAGTGAAGCAAGACGTTCATATGGATCGGTTGTGTTTAATGGGCAGTAAACACCGCCAGCGCACATAATACCAAATATACCAGAAATCATTTCAAGACTTCGGTCAACAAATTGGTAAACAATTTGTCCGGGAACAATGTTTAAATGATGAAGATGGGATGCTACACATTCGATCCGTTCGATAAATTCACTATACGTCCACAATTGATCATCAAGTACTACAGCAATTTTTTGAGGATGCATTTGAGCAGTTTCAAAAAGTTGTCGTAATACATAAAATGATGCCATAGTTTTTTCAAATATAATGGAAGATAAAAAATTTTTGAAAACTATCTGAAAAAGAAAATATTGAGCAGTGCAAGGATGAAATTTTTAGCAATGGAAATTTCGATAAAATTGTAAAAAGTCAGTGAAATAACCAATTATCAATAATAAGTGAATTTCTAAGACATAATCAGAAACAATCACTTATATTTGAGAAAAGCACAGTATTAGTATTACGGAGTTTGAATGATTTTAGTTTTTCATTGCTTGCTTGAAGCATTAATGATTAAAAGTTTTTCTCATTGTATCATCTCAATATTGTCTTGAGAGTAATTATGACACTAAGAATAAAAGTAAGAATGAAAATAAGAATGTTTTGACGAGTTCTAGTGTGATCTGGCTTCCTTAATTTCGACAGCGATGTCACATATCCTGAAAATCGATAAATGCTAGAAAAATGCTTGGAGATGCATCTCCCGCAGGAATCCTAGGCTGAAAATAAAAAAATAATTCCATCAGAAGATGCTGAGAGGTGTGCTTGAAGATACGGCGTTCCTCTAGAAAATATATGGATGTTGTGCCTATACCTGCTATAATTGAATCGTCTGTTTATAGATAGTTTGACACCTCCCGCATCTCCCTACACTTCTGCAGCACCTCGATTTTCCAGATGGATATATGACACCTCTCGATTTCGAAGATTTATTACAGTTCAGAACGCACGATATTTAGTTATGGCTTAATAGTTTAAAAGAACCTGAATATCACGTAAATAGATGGAGTATATGAATCATGCAAGACATCTGAAAAACCTAGTTTAGTACTTTTCCACCATTTTCAAATAACTGCTATTGAAGTCTATTAGATCTCAAAGAACGATCGAAGAAATATTTTCGACTGGAAAAACAGCACTGTGCACATTGATTTACAAAAGCATGATGTAATCGGAGTTATAAAAAACTTGGTATCTAAAGAGACATTTTCTTGCAATACAATACGAGAAAAATAATTTATAATTGTATCTTTCACAATAATATAACCCTATGTGTTATGGAATCGAAAACAGATTTTTTAAAACACGGTATTTTGATGATCACATATAGTAACACTCAGCGAATATGATAATGTTTGTTCAACAAACACCTGTTTCACTTTTTCTCGCACATGAAACTAGACATGTGATGTATTATATGAGTTTCGAGGAAAGCACATGAATTTTCGTAAACCAAATGTTGCTCTCGAAAATTAAAAAAAATCTCGCCAACCAGTGCAGTTTTCACCAATGAAATATAAAGTGGTACGGTAGTACATATACAACTCACCTCTCTCAATGTGGGCATGGCAGAATTAGACGAAACGCTCTTTTGCCCCTAATGCTAGCTGTGCCTCTTTCTCTATAATGTGTAAAAGAAGTGAGTTCCAAATGGACATTTAACAATCGATTTGACAAAGAAAAGTCGATACTTCGTACGATTTGAACTTGATATTGAAAGTTTAGATTCTTTTTTTAACTTTATTATAATTGCTTCTCTAGAAAAGGATTATTTGTCTCCAATCATAGTGTTTTTTATTTTAGTGCACCTTATATTAGAGGCTGCAACAATATTTATTGTCTATTCTTTAAACTTATGATTGTTTTTCCAGCGAGATGTTGGATGTGAGTGTGGTTAATAAAGTATTCACTCATAACCTATGTTCAATAGATTAAATACAGTCAAATGAGAACTCAATGTAAACAATTAGTAACATCTAAACCTATGTCATCTATTACTTATCACATATGGCGATTATTTGCTACTATGAGAATAACTGTCAACTTATTAAAAATTGGTCTGTTAACTACGGTTAAATGGCGATTCCCTAGAATTTAGTCTCATTATAAAAACACAAAAGAGATGACTGATCTAAAACATGGTCATAGCTTTTATATTAGGTTAATTCAAAACAAATTAATATTATTTGTCTTTTGTTGATCAATTTTCTTCTCTTTTGTCTATCTTAAATTCAATATGCGTGTGAATGGCTATAAGTAGAGATTAATTTTTGTTTCTTAGTCAATGGATTCGCTCAAAATACTCAGTTTTTGATCATTAAGTGAAGTGATTTGATTATTGATAGCAGTAGCAAAGAGAAGTGATCACGCACCCTATTTTATATACTCTATAATACAGTAAATACTGGGATAGATGAAATGCAGCTTGACTCCTTTTTATTTGCTTATCATGGTTCGAAAATAATCTCTTCTCATCTTTATCTGGAATGAATTTCTATTGAAGTTCAAAGTTTGTCATAGTAAGCTTCTCACTTATGTGCAAACAACTATGTGGTGTAATTCAAAAATGTATTTTATACGATGAACACAAAGATTATGTCTTTTCTCGATGCCCAAATGCTACTTTAGGGCTTTTCTTTCATAATAATAAATTCAATTCCTTATATTGTGACTTCTCCAACACATGAGATCGTATACGTATTGTTCATAAAACATTGTTTCCGGTATGCCTCTACAAAAAGGTGTATATTATTAACAAGTGCAAGCGTCATCAAGCGTATGAGATGAATTCACTTCTATTAAAGCACCAGTTTTTACCACAAAGATGCTGAGAATTCATGTGCCGTATGATCGTCAGACTTCATTTGCCTTGCCTTTTTTCCTAGTAAGATATCATACTAAATTGTCATTAACTATGCCCTTAGTACTTAACAATTGCTAAACTCTTAAAAAACAAGAAATTAGAATAGTCATGAAAGAAAATGCACATAATAACATTTGGATATGAAGTAACGACCAAATATTCGTATTTCAGGTGAGAAGTGATAGCTTTACATAGTATTTGAGAACGATGTCCGAAAAAAAAACAAAACCTTGACGATGACTCATGCTATAAAAAAAATATTTAGTTGGTTAATATTGAACACTAGTAAATCTATGCTGATTTCTAATAAAGAAAGGAATTTCGAAACATTTTGCAGATACATACGAATTTCTATATGAAATTCGGATTCTCTATTCTTTTCAACACTTTTTGTATGATATTTCTGAACAATGTGTTTGTCATCATCATTTATTATCATTAATATGCGAGCTAAGGTGTCTAAACTTTTTCGAGGCTTGACTTCGCTTTGCAAAAGGTGATATTTGTCGTACTCGTTTGAATACACAAAAAAAGAATACCGAAAAAGTGATGTTTGGTCAAAGCAAAATTGAATCTAGATGTTGTAGTTAATAATGATAGATAACATCGGTCCACTAATCATTTGACAAAATAGTTAAAAGAAGATTTTTTGACTAACTTTCGCAAAATGAGAATATCCAAAGGACAGCGACACACAAGAACGCAATTTAAACCTTTTTATTTTCAAGATCTAAACTACTTGAGTTATATTTACAATGCATGATTATGATTTTCTGATTCATTTCGATTCAAAAATTGAAGCATTTTGATTCTATCACGATTGTGAATAGACCTATCTTCACAACATATTATATTAGCATTCAGTGGTTGATACTAACTAGCAATATGAGCATTAGTCTAACAGAATGCAAATAAAGTTAAAGAATTATTCAAAGTTATTGTGATAACACTTTGTTCAGACTACATTGTCATAAGAGAACCATTTATTTAAAATAGTGCATTCAATCTACTAAATCTAATACAAATCTTTCATTGCTCGCCTTTTAAGTCTGAAATACTTATTTACATTCTATTTTTCATTCACCTATTGTGTCAATCATGAGACTTTCTTTACACTTAACTCACTTTGTATTCTAGAGAGCGTTTCCTGTACTACAAAACCATAATCATTTACGATCTGAAAAAATGAGCCGCATAACAAAATTCTTATTTCATTGTCATTGAAGCTTAATTGTCAACTTTTTGAGTGATGTTGGACGGTTTTCAAGCAGACAAATACTTTTTAAATATTAATCAAATCTGATGTTAGGGATCAGCACAACAAAGTGAGTTGATATTTTATATATGTCGAAATTTTTCTGCAACTGTTTTCTGATGAGATTTTCACCAGTCAACCTCATGAGGAATATGTGAAAAAATAATTCAATCAAAAAGTCATTACAGCAATAGAAAGAAATTTCTAATCTTGTAAAATGTGATTTGAAGATAAAACAACACTTAAATAAAAAGTCAAATAGTTATTTTGATTGAATTCATTTGCTCACATATGTCTGAGAGGACCATGAGTAAAAATTTTATCAGAAAAAAAGCTGCAGAAAAGTTTTAAAATATAGCCCAACTTACTTTTTTGTGTTGGTTTCAAATATGATATTTGCTTGAAAACCGTCCAACATCACTCGAAACAGTTAAAAACTGGATCTTAAGAATATTGGACTAATGATTGTGCTATGTAGTTCACTTTTTCAGACCGTAAAACGTTGAATTTTGTGGCACTTGAAAAGCTCTATCGAATACGAAGTAAAATAAGTAAAGAGAAAGCTTCATTAGTACAATAACTGAATGACAAATGATATGTATAGACTGATTTCAGACTCAAAATGCAAACAAAGGAAGATTCGTATATCATCTAGTGGAATCAAAACATTATTTTAAATGAATGATGTTATCATCAAAGTATAACGCAAAAGAAAGGTTAGCAGAATAATTTTCAATGACTCTTCATCTTTATTTGTTTTCTGTCAGAAGAATGCTCATGTTGCTGGCTAGTATCAATAACTAAGTGCCCATTTGATATCTACTGAAGATCGACCCTGTCTAAACACATTATTGCTTCAGAATACTTCGTTTATAGCATCAAAATGATCAGAAGCTAGTAATCTTTCATTTTACATTTTAAAAATCAAAAGGTGCCGAAATATGTTTTTGTGAATTTCTATTCTTTCACACTCGGAAAATGAAACATTTTTATTGATTATCACTCGGTGAATCTAAAGCAATCATCCTTCATTTTCTCATATAACAAATATATGAGCGACAGTATATCCTGAGAAGAATAGAAATATATAAACTTTGGAGAAATCTAAATCTAAATTAGAAATAATATTTTAG